ATATTATAAATCTACCACTACTATAAATAAGTCTACCATCGCTAAACATCAATAAGTCTACCAATCAAAAAATTAAATCTACCATCACTACGAATAAGTCTACCGATCATAAAATTAAGTCTATCAGTACTACAAATAAGTCTACCACATCTTAAAATCTACCACTACTATAAACAAGTCTACCATCGCGCAAACCATRAATAYGRCTACCACRASTACTAATAAGTCTYTCACTSACAAATAAATCTACCATAACTATAAATAAGTCTACCATCGCACGAACCATCAATAAGTCTACAAATCACAACAATAAATCTACCACAACCACTAATAAGTCTATCACTCAGAAATAAATCTACCACAACTATAAATAAGTCTACCACTACAACTCATAAGTCTACCGTAACTACTCAATAAGTCTACCACAACTTACAATAAGTCTACCACTACTTACAATAAGTCTACCACTACTATAAACAAGTCTACCACTGCCTGCACCGTAATAAGTTTACCGACCACTTTATAAATCTACCACTATTACAAATAAGTCTACCGATCCCAAAATTAAGTCTACCAGTACTACGAATAAGTCTACCACATATTATAAATCTACCACAACTATAAATAAGTCTACCATCGCGTACACCGTAATAAGTCTACCAGACATTTAATAAGTCTACCGTAACAGAATGGTAGACTTACTTAATTTAGGCGGAAAAAATTTCTGCTTCATTAATGGCAGTTTCGTAAATACGTTTTTTGTCTGCAAATGAAATAAGGTTAACATTGGAATTAAAAAATTTTCAAGATCATTCTAATAATATTCAAAGATAGAGGTCATTCTAGTCCAAATCTTTGCTTAACAAGGTTATTCTAGTAAACTTCCCTAAATTCACCATGTGTACAAATTTAGATGATTAGATGACATACTTGAGCCAGTATCTACATTGAACCTGCAAATTTTTAAAACCTGCAAATTTCATTTCACAAAAGCCAGTATTATGAACAAAAGTACATTTTTATAAATTAGAAAAAAAAAACATTACAAACGTTGATCATGCATGCCTGGGATTGAATTCTCTATGCTTGCGAAGACAACTTCTCATTTGATTAATTTTTCTCCGGTAGATTGTCATTTTAGAGATAAAAGAAAAATGAGTCTTTAGTTTTTTACCTTTCATCGTCCCTTAACTTCTGATTTCCATTGAAATTATAGAGCTCTTCAATTGCACCATCTGAGATAATATAAGAAGGTTGTAACAATTCCATGAATCTGAATTCGCAGTTTCTCATCAACAGAAACGACAAACCCAGTTAATTTGTTTGGCGTCGCTCACATTTTGAAAAAAAAAAAAGCCGGAGATGAGATACAAGATTAAAAGCAAAATTGTGAAGACGAAAGTATTAGAAAATAATTTCGTGAAAATAAAATGGTGAAGTTCCCAATGCGCTTTATATATGTAGTCACTAAGAAAGGCCAGGAGATCATGCCATGAGAAATCGGCGGAGAGAAGAATTAGAGATTCTAGAGAAACTGGATAAATGTTATTTTGCTATTTTTAATTCTAACTTTTTTGGGTAGTGACACGTATTAAAAAAACTTAAGTGGTCACTTTGAGAGTAATTCTAGGAGTCTCTCTCTCACTTCTGCTTTATAAGATAAGAGATTCTTGGAAGGTTCTTGATATCACTTCAGACTGGGATATAAATTTTTTTCAACCCGGCGTGTCTTTGAAGGGAAAATACTTACTTTCTTGTTGATAAAAAAGCACTAGTAAAAGGGGTAGAGATAGAACGAGCCCCATGATTTTTTACTCTGTTTTGATTTTACAAGTGAGAGATTTGGACCGCTTCTTTCTCTGCCGTTTCAACACAATGTTTTCGATACTGGAAGTATGTCTTCTCTTAGAGACGAGAAACTTGTGGCGTCACATGTGTGCTCGAATCATAGTGAGGTGGAGATATGGGTTACAACTAAGATTGAACCCAGTGTAGTGTCGTGGATCGCTTTCTTAAAACTTGATGTGGAATCACTCCTCGCTCTTGGTTTTGAGTTCCGCTTTGACGCTCTCAGTTTCTTCATTGACGAGGAGATGAAAATTGGCAGGTTTTTTAATGTATACGAAACCTGATATCGACTCCCCATGCAACCAAACAGCTTACATCTTTGGAGAGAATGGATACTTGCATCTCTTTTCATTCGTTTTTCTTTTTTTCGTTTGCTATGTCCTCTTGATGAACAATCACAAGACTAAATTGTTATATGTCTATATAAAACATAGTAGCATTCCGATCATATTACTACACAATATTATTGATGTTATACAAGAAAATCCGACATAGACGATACCAAACTAATAACTCTTGATACAAATCCATGTAGAAGATACAACTTAACTTTATAATAATTTCACATAAGAAAATTACAGGTACGAGAAAAGTTGTTCTCCACTTGGAGTCTTGAACTAATAATTTCTTCTTTCTCCCCCCCCCCCAGGCTCTTTTTTTTTGTGTTTGTCCGTTTGGGTAACTTTTATGTAGGCAAGGCACAAAAAGAATAAAGAACAGTAAAAGTCTCTCCTACTGCAAAAACAAAGCTTCTAAGTAATCATCAACATAAGCTAAGCAAGGCCAATGATCTGTTCTTATATGCACCAATGTCGATCCTTCACCAACTTCCATTTCAAACAGCAGATGATATCTCGGCGGCAAAAACATCAGCATCTTTATCTTTCCCATTTTCCCTCTGCTCCTCGTCATCGGAACCTCTTGATCATCTCCATATCCAATGTACGTTAGACGAAGAGGACCTCGGTTTGATCCTGTGGCCCCTGCTGAGGAAGAAGTAGACCGGTCCGCATTTGTGTGATCCCCTTCTTCTTCTTCCTCCTTCCACATGATGTTCTCGATGATTCCTCCGTCTCTTACAATGTTGACAAGCTGTTCTCCGATGATAGCCACCACAAAGGGAGCTAAATGAAGCTCGCTTGCCTGTATAACAATTTCTGCAGGGACTTCTAGCAGTTTCACTGACCGAGTCCCGCTGATTGCTGCTGCGGTTTTGCCTCCTTTTAGTGCAAATGTTTCGTGTGCAGTGCTGGATGAAGAACCGCACACTTCCCATAAAGCATTGAATAGATCTGAGTAGTAGCTCGGTATTGTATCTTCAGGTTCGTCGGGTGGGGCAAGAGCTTTCAAGAACATGTCTTCGATCCCCACAGGGACACTCTCGAGTTTACCCTGAATCATCTGGCCATTCTCTGCGTTTGCTTCCATGAAAACCTCGACCAAACCCGGTGTTGGTTCTCTAGGTTCCAGTTCAACTGTTACAGGTGCTCCTCCCAAGCCATCTTTTTTCTCCTCTTTAGGTGTGTTTTCTAACAAGACAATGTCCAAAGAACCTTCATCATCGGGTACATTCTTGTTCCAATGAGGCTCACCGAGAAGGAAAGGTATACGGCACGCTGGAATAGAGCCATAAGGTGCTGAAGAAGAAAATTTGAGCACGGTCGCGAATATTGCAGGAGGTGAGTCGACTTTATCTAACTCGGTACTCTCGGTTTGACCGCCCCATGTGCTGTTATATGGTTCAGCATCCAATCTCAAACTACAGGTTATCCTAACCTTAATTCCAGGCATGTGTCTGAAATCAGGAATTATTGAGAAATATCTTCTTAACCTTTCAAGAATCTCTGCAATTTTTGCGTCCATCACCCTTAATGTGGGCTTTCCTGATTCAATTCTTCGAGAGTCTGGCAAAATCTGGAGTTCTTGACTGCTATCCGGCTCAATTTCATCAACCTGAATTTTGCTTTCGATAATGCTATATCCATCATTTCCAACACCTACAGATGGTAAAGACAACGACCATGACTGTTTCACGAGTAGGGGCGTAACCCGTTCAAGATGAATATAGGATGAAAGGCTCCTAGATTTGTTAGGATCATGACGAAAACGAGGACTTTGGACTGTAAAAAATGTAGATGAATGAGTTGATGGAGACACAGTGTCTGCAGGCTTCAAAATGTTCTTTATCGTCCGTCCTGGTATACACACCAGCATCCTCAGATATATCCTACAATGCGCCAATTTAAGAGGTTGAGTTAATGCAATCAGGATTTATAAAATATTTGTTGTTTGCCATGGCTATACCTAGCATTGTCTCGGACCTCCAGATCAGGGAAATAAAGACACGTGAGGGAAAGAAGACGAGAGAGTCCAAGAAATAATCTAGAGCTCTTATGATGACTCAACAGTGTTCGACAAATGCCAAGAACTTCAGTTCCCTGATCCCACAATTTCAATCCCACATCAAACCCGCGCTTACCAACAAGTGAAACGACAAACTTCGTAAGCAACTCAATCAATCGAGAAGGAGGTATTGTATCATTCTCGGCAATCCGATGGAAAAGCGGGAAGTAAGCTGTTAACAAATTGTTTTTCTCAAGTTTGGGAAGCAGTCTCTCATCGATTGTCTGAAGAAACCGTTCTCCTAACCACTGATGCTTTTGACAGTTTATCAACCGCTCAATAAAAGCCACAATAACAGGGACCAAGATTTGATATTCCAAAGTCATGTCTACCAGCAACCCCTGAATAAAAATATATAAGACAATCAAAATGAAGGAATATCATATCTGAGAGCAGAAACTATTCCTGAAACTTAGCAAAAGGTTGGTTCCTGGATTAAAGCTATTTAGAACTAAAAAAGGCCACACAAGTTCTGTTCCTTTCTCGGAAATAGGATAAGTGAACCATCATCAAGCGAGACCAAGAAGCAAGCAAAGATAGCTTCAAACCTGCAAGTTTTGGAACAGGCTAGACTCCATAAGGCTTCTAGTGGTGGAAGGGTCAGAGTCGGAATGTGTAGAGGCACATATCAGAAACTTGTGTAAAGTGCGGAGTGCTAGTGCAGTTTCTGAGCTCCAGGGAGGCAACCATTTGAAATCTGAAACCGATACCAAACATTCCTGCAACAACTCCCCTGCAGATTTTTTGTTATCACCTCCACTCAAAGCATTGGAACTAACAGAGCATTGTACCAGAAGATCAAGCTTCAACGCTTTCAAAGCGAGTGGATCAAAAACAACAGGATGAAACTTCTGACCCATCTCAAGAACCGATTTCCTCTTCTCGAGCTCGCCACTCAACATAAGCTTATTCAACAAACCCATTAACCAGTGAAGCGCAAGCAAGCGGAAAACAAGATAGATCTGAGTCTCCTTAGAGAGAAGCATAAGCCTTCTCATGATCTCTTTCTCTTGTCCCTCAAACGCATCAGGGAATTGACAATACATAAGTAAGACAAGATGACAAAGCATTGGATCAAACGAATAAATCATCCCCAAGAACTGAACTTTCAACATAGAGGCCTGTAACTCCAATGCCGATGCAAGTGGCACTACCATACCCATAAACTCCATCATAGCACAAGACGTGAATAGATACGGCGACTCCAACATAAAAGCCAGTGTTCGTCTTAGCTCCTTCTGATCTGGCCCCGACCCTTGACCTTGACCTGAAATCGAACTCTCTTCCTGCATCCAATTGGGAGCATTGAAAGGCACCAGAGGCACAGAGGTACTAAGAAGTGAAACCTTAAGCTTTTGATTGACGACGTTGTAGACAACAGTGGTGAACAAGAGAAGGTAAGCTTGCACGGCATGGGTTCTCTCCGCTTGGCACAGCGACCAAAGATGACCAGCGACGTCGGAGAGCAAACCAGGAAAGGCTTTCTCTAGCTGACGTAAGCACTCACAAGCGATGGCACGAGCTTGTCGGTCAAACCCATGGTTGGGACGATTAACGAGGGCTAGTAGCAAGTCGACAACTGCTTCAACGTGACGTACGGAGAAAGAATCAATCGATACTAGCACCGACGTGAAAGAGATCATAGCTTGCTCTTTCAATCCAGAAGATCCATCCGTCGGAGATTGCACGATCGCACGAAGAGCATCGATGAAACGATCAAAGGTCTCGTCACCACATTTATCAAACAAAATCTCGAAAAATTCGTCGAGAAAGACAAGGATTGAGAGCTTCACTTGCGAAGGAAATTCCTTCTTCAGGAGAGAAGAGAGAGCGAAGTCCACCAGAGAATCAATCGAGAAGACGGAGGTGAACCAGTCTCGAGGAGCGCCGGCGTCTCGGAAGTCTTCGATGAGAACGTCCCAATCGTTGACGGAGATAGGTCTCGCCGGAGACTTCTCCAGCGTTGTCGTGGTCATTCTCCGATCGAATCTAGGATTTGAATCTGTAGAGAAAGAAAAAACCAAGTCATTCGAGAGAAGAAGATAAGACAACCTTTTGTCGCCGGCAGTATCAACTCCGAGAAACCGAACAATTCACAGAAGCTGACTCTTTTTTAATTAATTTTCCATAGTTTAATCGTTTTTGTCCCTACAGTATAATGATTGCGCAAAAAAAAAAAAATCTGTGTAATAATCTCTATGTAATTAAATCTGTATAATTTTTGTTTTCCACATCTGTAAATGATTTTAGATCATTGAAATACAATTTATTTGATTTATATAATTATGAAAATTAGTGGATTTTTGGAGATTACAAATCAGCTATGTTTTAAAACTAAGCAGATGAAAATCAGCTGAGAAATGGGTCAGAGGAAGAACGCCCACTTAGCATCAAAACGCCGTTTCATACAGCGACTGCGTTTTGTACTCCACAACATATACTCATGAAACTCGTGTTTTGCGATGGTCATCGATTCTTTTGCGTCATTTTGCATCATCAGGTTTTTGGCCACCAGCTACACTACTGGAAGAACTGTTGTCTCGGACGCTCGGAGAAGATGAACACTTGCTAGAATGAGAGCTTTCGTCTATAGAGTTGTTGGTGTTGCTGTTTCTCTTAGATCTCTTCGTCTTCTCCGGCCTTTGCAATGTATCCTACAAAATACAGTTATTTAAATACATCCGAGATGTCTAGCTTCTGATTGATCGATCACAAGCTCTATTTCCAACTCTCTAACCTTATCAGAAGTAGATCCAGGGGTTTTTAACTCGAGTTGTGTTGCGACGTCGTTAGAATCCTCTGCTTTCTCGGATCTGCTCTCTCTTGAAACCTTTGTTCTAGGTTCCCGAGAACGGTTACCCGGGTTCTGTGGTATGTGCACGGATTGTTGTTCGACGACTGTATTAGGAGGCATATACGGCATGTATGTAGGGCATGGAGCTGGGATCATGCTTGGGTTCTGGTTCCCAAAGTATGTGTAAGATGGCATTGACGGATGCATAGGGATTGACCCGGG